TATAAATACTATACAGGGTGATTGTGCTCACATCATTTTGCAAGAAGCTGTGTCTTTTACGTGAAAACCCAGTAAATTGGTTTCTGGGCTCCTGCAGTGGAAGTTAAGGCTTTCAGAGGACATACTCGGTGCCAGGTACCCTCTCAGCCTTAAACATGTATTCATTTCTTGATTTCTCTACCAACCCCAGGGGTGGGTCGTAGTCTCCCCACTGGACAGAAGAGGAATCAGCACACAGAGGTTAGGAAACCTGACCCGGGTCACTGAGAGCGCGGGCTAAGCCGGGAAGTGAACTTGGCTGTCAGACTCTAGGGCCCGGCACTCAATCATTACCCACTTAAACCCCCTGGGTTCAGGAATGGCTGGGCAAACAGCAACCACTAATTTTTCAAAAGAGTGAATACTTCTTAAGCAACTGCCAACCTTCTCCCTGTTTCAGTTTCTTTTCCTCTTTCCCTGTGACCTGGCACTTCCACCATCCCCCCTACGCTGAGCTATCCAGATTCCCTGCCAGGTTTGTTCCTGCATCTAGAACATGCCCCTTGGAGGTCAGGATGGGCCCCCATGAACCAGATTTCCCAGGAGCTAAAGTTGATTCCACTGCAGCTCTTGGAGTTAACTCTTTTCTCCCCCTCCCTATCTCCAGAGTGCTTTTCTCATAAACGATACAGCTCCTTGCAAAATAATGTGAGCATGGCTTTCAGAAATTAACCTGAGCATTGACATTCCATCAAAAGAACTTGCTCTACTCTCTGGCCTGAGGCAAGCACCTAAGTCTTTCCCAAGAAATGGATGAGGAGAAACTTAACAAGCCTGAACACACCCAAATTAGGGGAGAAGAGTGCTCTGGATCTTAGAATACATTGGATTTTTCTCCCTGGCACCAGCTCCTACTGCTCGAGAGGGTGCTTCTCTTGGAGAGCAATATGACAGGGCTTGCTATGCAAATCGACACTATTAGCATAGTAGAGGGAATGGGGGCATTAAGGGAAAAAGCAAGTGGTTTTCCTAAAGCCAGGATTCATTCCTATTGGGTGCTGCCCAGTCTGGAGGGGGAGGTTTCCTGCTGTCAAGCACTCTACAGAATACACGCTGAGGCCCAGGGCTTGGTCAAATGGCGTCCTCTGGCCCCCATTGCCTGGGGTGAGTGTGATGAAAAACCTTGAAAGGGTTCTGGGATAAAAGCTTCCTTATTCCCTTAGCAGATCACACAGAGGGCTCTGAAGGCAGAGATCAGCCTAATTAGGGCTGTGGCGCTCCTACGATTTAAGAGACGGCAAGCATGTACTGCCTCCACCCTTCAGAGCTTGAGGCTTTCCTGTTCACACCAGAAACAGCCTCTGCCTCTCACTGCTCTTTGAAGATGGTCTTTGGGCGGCAAAAATACTGAACACTCCAAGTTCTGAAACACCAGAGCCTGGAGCTAATCGTTAAGAGGCAGAAGACCCGACCTGTGAACCAATCGGATCTTGGCTTCCCAATTTCCTTCTGGAGTTAGGGAACATTATGGCTTCAAGAAAACCCTCCCTGGAGGCCTAGGATAAACTCAAAATAGGCCCCTTTATTGCTCATTAGCAGCACTGAGAGAATGCTGAACAAGAAACGCCCCTAAACACAAATGATTCCTAGAGTGACTTTTCTAAAACACCAATCTGATAGCATCACTGCCCAATTCCTGAGTTAAAACCTGTCTGCAGCCTCCTCTTGTCCCAGAATCAAATTCTGAGTTCTTGAGCTGAGCCTCAGTATCTTTTCATGATGTATCTCCTCCGACCTCCTCTTGATCATCTCTCTCTCTTCAGTCACAGTGCCAACCTTCCAATTCACCACCATTTCTCTTTTTCCCCCAGGCCTTCAGGTACCGCCACTTTGCCTTCAGGACTCATCTCCCACAAAGTGCTTCCAGACACTCTCCGTCCCCTCCCCGGCCCCACCCTGCACCTGAGTTACGTGATCCCAAAGCACACCTGGCTAGTCGCTGTGACAGGTGTCATCACTGGCGGCAGCACTGCCTATCATCCTGACCTTGAAGTTACTTGACAGGGACTCATCCTTTGACACCTCTTCTTCCCCAGCTCTGGGCGCAGTCTGCAGTCCCCTCCAGTTGACAAATACAGAGCAGATGCATGAATAACAGCAGGCAGAGAAGAGACGCCTGGGTTTCTGTGAGCGGCAGAGCTCTGCAGAAGAAACTCTACCCAGGGGAAGTGTGAAAGGGCAATTTTACGAGCATGTTTTCTAGGAGACAATTTTATTAATTGTCTCTCTGAGTCATGAGGGTTCAGGTGAGCCTCCTGGATTGTGGCACACAGGAATGAAAAGCACACACACTCATTACCCTCCTCATTCATTTAATCATTCTTTCAGGTTTGTGCACCTCCTCCCTGCCAGGCAGAGGGCTGGGCACTTGGATGTCAAGGGGACCGAACTGGGTGTGGCCCTGCATCACTGAACATTTAACAAGGTCTATTTGGGGAACAAATAGACCTTCCTGTTTGAAAGGAAATCTAGTAATAGGTTTAAAAAGAATGGGTCACATGACAACTTCTAAGGACTGGCTGGCATTCAAGAATCTTAGGGAAGAAAGAAAGACGGCCTTCAAATAAATATGATAAAGTCTTTTCAAATATCATATGATACCACTTATATGTGGATTCTAAAAAATGATATAAATGAACTTTTTTTTTTACAAAACAGAAACAGACTCACAGACACTAAACAGAAACCAAACTTATGGTTACCAAAGAGGAAAGATGGTGGTGGTCGGGGGTTAAATTAGGAGTTTGGGATTAACATACACACACTAGGGACAGCGGCAGTCACTCAGTTGTGTCTGATTCTTTGCGACCCTGTGGACTGTAGCCCGCCAGGCTCCTCTGTCCATGGGATTCTCCAGGCAAGAATACTGGAGTGGGTTGCCATTTCCTACTCCAGGGGATCTTTGCGATCAGGGATTGAACCCGGATCGCCTGCATTGCAGGCAGATTCTTTACCAACTGAGCCACCAGGGAAGCCATACACACACTAATGTATATATAAACTAATCGACAAGGACCCACTGTATAGCACAGAGAACTATGCTTACTATTCTGTAATAACCTACAGGGGAAAACAATCTGAAGAAGAATGCACCTGTGTAACTTCATCACTTTGCTGTATACTTGAAACTAATACAGTATTGTAAATCATCTACACTCTGATATAAAATTCAAAATGTCTTTTTACAATGTGGTGGTGAGTAACCATTTTCCCTCAGAGGAAGTTGAGACAGGAAAGGTGGAAGTGGATTCTGGCAGGGATCCTGGTAAGATCTCAGCCTCCGGGAAGGGTAGCAAAGTCTGTGATGTGTTAAAATCTCACTGCCACAGGCCACTGCATCCCTGTCTGCACCTGTGGGAAGGGTTGGCAGCTTCTTGAGATCAAAGAAGATGGAAAGTATAGCTCTGGGACAAGTGTCATCGCCTAAGGCTCCAGCAATGCTGTTGGCACAAGCCTGCGTGGGTTCAAACCAACCCAGCGTCCAACCCTGATTCCATGACTGAGCCCTACGACCAAGACTCTTGGTTCTTGTTATCCAGAGAATGGGTGATGATTGCTACCTCCCAGGATTACTGTGAGGATAAATGAGATGATGTGTTGGGATGTAAAGTCTGTATGTAAAGGGCTGCCCCCGTCAGGATAATGATACTGTCATTTTTGAGTTAAGTGTCATATAAAGAGTGAATGAGATAGTGATTCAAATGCTCAGCTATCCTGGTAAAGGCTGATGAACTACTGTAGAATACACTGTCACATAATAATGTAACAATGTATATTAAATAAGCAACAGCAATAGTGTGCCTTTATTGAGCATATGTGTCGGCCTTGTTCCAAGCACTTCATATGTACTAGCTCATTTTCACATTAGCCGCTTGAGGTTCTAGTATCATCCTCATTTTGCAGCGGAGGAAACTAACACATCCAAGTCACACAGCCAGAAGGCCTCAGCAGAGGGGCTGGAATGCCAGGGGAGGGCTGCACTGTAGACCCTCCTTCCATTAACAAACGTTCAGAACATCAGGCCTGGGCCCCTGAGGCCTCTGTCTCTGGCTGGCCCCGTCCAGAGGCTGCACTCAGGGCTGTCCACGGCTCACCACAGTCTCTGGCCTCAAATCTTTCCTTGGAAACCTGCCTTGGCCTACAGTCCATGCCTGCTTTCACTCTGAACACGCCATTTCTACTTTCAGCCTCAGAGTCTTCCCTGCCTACGTGTCAAGATCTCTTGATTGCACTAAGATGCTCTGCTTAGAAGCAGAATCCCTCATCTCTCACATCTGGTCAAGGAGCTCATATTCCCCTACCCATGGGGGCTCTCGGCCTGCCTATTTCTAGCTCTGTGCTATTTCTGAAGCCTAAGGAATTAAGATGTTTTAAAACGATGGCAATGGCACTTTTGGCCTTTACTTCTCTGAGCACAGGACACAGTGTCCCAACTCTGTTGGGGGTGGTGGGACCCGAGGAGCCCTCCCCAGCTCTGGAAGTAAAGTTTTGCTTTTATCTGTTTTATATACTTGGATCTCAAGTAAAGTTTCATTTGAAAAGGAATCCTATTTTTAAAAACGTTTGAAAACCACTAAAGAGTCCTACCTATTTGGAATCACTGACATATACTGAGCCATCTCTCTGTCCCCCTCCCCACCCAAGTCTTTGTGTGGTTCCTGGACAAGGGTCAGGTCTGATGGTGAAGGAGGTTTTCATCTTGACCATCCAGTCCCTTCCCTTCAGTATCCATCTGACGTTCCACCCACAAGGAACATTTTTACTCCAATGACAGCCAGACTCCTCTGGGTGACCATGGCAGTTCACATGTTAGAATTTCAAGAAGCCCTCACCTAGCTTGCGGAGTCCTCCAAATCAGGAAAATCTCCCAGAAACATGGTGAGCTTTTACTTGTTCACGAGTTACCTGGGGTACCAGAAGGGAGGGAGTGGCGAGGACAGATGGACCGAGGAGAGCCTTACCTGTTTTTCGATGAAAGCATTGATTCTCTGTAGCATCCCTTCGCATGTGAATTCATATGGCATGTATGGCTCAATCTGCAGAAACAGAACAGATCATGAAAGAGGAGGACACGAGGCAAGTAATCTGTTTCCAGTTCTCCACTGATTCACCCACACTCAGGTGCCAATGCCTGCAGGCAGTCAGGCGAGGGGCTAAGAGTATGAACTTGGAAATTAGCAGACCCGTCTTCACAACCTCCCTGTTCCTTATCAGCTGTGGGACCCAGAGCAAATTAACCATCATCTTTGAGCCTCAGATCCTTCAAGTGTGAAATGGTGATAAGAAAAACCCATTCTTTGGAATCTGTGATGAATATTACATCGAGGGAAAAAGTAAAGTGCTTAGTTCAGTGTCTAACACATGGAAGGCATCCAACCAAGGTACAGAGTGTCCGTTGTTGGAAGGTAAGATCTATGGGGCAGGATCCATGACTGCGGATCAGCTGTATCCTGGTGCTGACCAGCAGGGCACACACTGGAATCAGCAAACACCTAGTGAATGAACGCAGGCCTCCTCCTCTGAGAAAGGCATGTGGTGAGCTAATTTCACGACAGTGAGAAAACTTCCTTTTGTATTAGTAGGTAAATATGTACCCAAAGAACTCATGGAGCAAAAAACAGTGACAACACATCACAGAGATTTCAGTGAGAGGGTCCCAGGAGGCTAGAAGGTCAAAGCCAACTTCTGCTAATGTTGGGCTTTTAAGACCAGCTATGATTCTAGCAAGCCAAGACTGAGGGAGGGCCAAGATATAGGATGTTCTAGTGGGGAGCAAGTAGTGGGAAATTAGACTTGAAAGAAGGAGTGTGGTAGGACAGAACTAGGATCATGGAAGCTAATGAGCTAGGCTAGGAAGCAGCTAACTGGATTTCCACAAAGGACTTGAGATTTCTACCCTAAGGAGACTGGACTTTATCTGAGGGTGCAAGTAATGCAGAAGGTGCCTCACTGGGGTAGGGGAGGCAATCTGATCAACACTGTGATACTGATGGAAGGGGAAGAAAAGTGGGTTGGAGTTCTGCACTGCCTATGCCAACATTCTGACATCTGTGTCTTCAGGGACAGCCGTCTGGCATTATTAACCTGAAATGGACATTACACTTGGGAGAAGATCACCAGTAATCCAATTTTTTTACAGCTTCAGAGAACCCAACGGCAGTTGGCACGTTCATCACTTCCCTCTTAAGTCTGCACTTGCCTATCTCAAATCTGCAGGGTGGAGGCCTGGACAAAACATCTGTGAGGTGAAGCCTGATGAAAATGGGAAACTGACAGAGAAGATACTCATCTGTGGGAAGCCAAGCAGTTGGGCTCAAGGCATATTCTCCCGTCTTCTGTGTTGATTCATACATTACTTTTGAAATCTTCATCATCTATCATTGTCACTTTCATAACGTGTCTTTGAATACACAATTAGATGACATATCACACAGCCATGGCTGCCCTCATCCACCCGGAGACAGCCAAAAGGGGCAGAGCCGTAAGTACTGTAATACCAGGGCAGGACTATTCTGCAAGAACTGAGGTCCTTTTGTCCCTAGATAGTTCATCTCAGATGAGCACAAAATTCTTTAACTAACTTACATCTTCCAAGCCTGCATCTTTTCATCTCAAGCTTTTGCACTTGCTGTGCCCTCTCTAATCCAAACACAGTCCTTTACACCCAATGTATACTTTTAATTTTCTTTTAAAGAATATTTATTTAACCAACCTGTGAGTGATTCCACAAGCTTTCTCTAATTGGCTAGATATATGTCTCCCCCCATGTTTGTGGGAAAATATATGGAGGAATAAGAACAACAACAAAAAACATACAATAGAGGACTTGGCATATCGGTTTCATTTAAAAAGGGATAAGTAGGATTTCTAGAGTGAGATAAACAAACATCAGTGACCATGTGTCATGCCACCAACAGACTCAGTTTTGCGGTAGGAAGCATACTAAACACTCAAAGGTCATTCCTACAACATATTCCAAAGGGCATCCATTAGAAATGAAAGTGAATTAATTCAAAGAGCTCATGTGATAAACACAGAAAAACGGCTCTTCCTAGGTCACCCTACCAACTAAACCCAGGTTAACCAAAGGGATGATGACTCATTGCTTGCTCTGTGGCCAGTTCACTGTTCTAAAAGATAAGGAACCAATTTTCCTATAAAGGGAAATCCAGAAAGAAAAGAAACTATATTCTCAAGCCATCGCTGCCAGTAAGTTCCAGGAGCCATCTTGCTGTGGATGGGAACAGGGCCCTGGGTGTGGGAAAGGTCTGCAGCGTAAGGAATACCGAGCACTGGCTAGTCTCTGATGTTAGATCTGCTGCACAGATTTTGTGTGCGTGTGTGCGTGTGTCCGTGAGAGAGAGCTTTCTGCAGAACAGCCCTTCAAGGAAAGTCAAGGCCTCTTTGGGGGATGGAATGAAAGCGGATGTGAAATCGCACCAGTCGCTGAGAATCCCAAATAGGGCCAGTTATGGAGAAGCAGGGGGCAGTGTTTGATCATCCCGCCTGGTGGGAGAAGGACTGTTAATCATGGCCACAGGAAGGATGCCTGCAGACTGCACCACACAGTCCCTCCTGGCCTTGGAAACTGTCCCTATCCCCCCACATTGTCCTTCATTTGCTCCTCTTTACCTTCTTCCTTCCTGTGCGATGTCCTCTCTCCTCTAGCATTACTCAGCATTCTAAGTCAGAGCGTGGATTTCTAGGGGAACTGCACTCTGAGATCAGTTAACCCCTGCATGGCCCCACCTGACCGGTGGCTTGGCACCAGTCAATGAGAGATGGTCTTAGAAGGCAGAAGACCACGGGGTGAGTCTTATCTCCTCTATCTACTAAGTCGAGAATTTTAAGTTAGACACTTCATGTAATTTCTCTTGATGATTTCAAATGTAAGACAGGTCATGCCATTCCACTGTTCAAAACTACCCATCATACTTAGAATAAAATCCATAATCCCTATGGTGACCTTTTTAAAGGCTCTACACATTCTGGCTCCTATGGAATCTTCTATGGTCTCCATTATTTCCAGTAGGAAGTTGGTCGTCTTTTATACTGTTATTCCCTTGAATGTAATACATTTTTCTCTGGCTGCTTTCAAGATTATTTTCCTTATCTTTCATTTTTGGCAGTTCAGCTACAATGTACCTAACTGTGTTTTTCTCCATATTTATCCTGCTTGGCCTTCACTGAGCTCCCAGGATCTGTAGGTTGATGTCATTCATCAATTTTAGAAAATTCGTAGCCATCATCTTTTCACAAATGTTTCTTCTGATCATTCTCTCCTCCAAGATTCTCATCACATGTAAGTTAGGTTGTTTGATGCTGTTCCACAGATCTTATATGCCCCTTCTTTTTATCTTGTTTCTCTAATTTCAATACTTTCTACTGACAAGTTGTTAAGTTCACTGATTATTTTCCTCTGCTGTGTACAGTCTGCTGATAAATCCAGTGAAAGAGTTCATTTCTGATACTGTCTGTACCTTTGGTTCTAGTATTTTTTCATTTGGCTTAAAATTTCTTTTTCCATTTCTGCTGAAATCCCCCATCTGTTCATATATACTGTCTACTTTTTCCATCAAACATTTTAATATATTTGTCTCAGCATTTAACATTTGCTGTCTGATAATTACAACATCTGGGTCATCTCTGGGTCTGGTTTTATTGACAGAGTCCTCTCTTAATGATGTGTCATGTTTTCTTGCTTTTTTGAGTGTCATGTAACCTAAAATCTTGTAATTAAATATGAGAAATCTTGGTACCAAATTTCTGACACATTTATAACAAGCTTAAGGGTTATGACAATTGTTTTTGTATTACTCTCATCCCTTATTTTATCTCTCTTTCTCACTCTCAACTTTTCCTTTGCTTCATTTCATGCTGTTTTTCTTCTTAAATTTCATCTTAATAAACCAGCCAAAATACTAGTTTCTACCCAGGTCCTACTACTTACTAGTTGTGCGATTTTAGGTAAATTACTTAATTTATTTAAACCTTAATGTTCTTATCTGTAGAAGGGTTAAATGAGATAAGGCTCATAAAGATGTACAGAGAGATTCTACATGTGTAGAAAGAGATTCTCCCTAAATATCATTTATTATAACTAACACTCTCCCCCCCAACCAGTTAAGTGGCCTTAGTTGAAAATTATTTAAACAAATTTGTGTTGTTCAAACCACCAAGGGAAAGGGTTTTAAAACATGGAACAGTAGATGTTCCATGGAGTGAACACAGCCTCGCTTAGGAGTGGACAGAACTCGGCACCCACTCACTGCTTTATGTGTCAGGCATTCCCACGAGCTTTCTGTCTGACAAAACAGATCTATTAGCTACAAGGTTTTGAACTTTATGATCCAAGATTTTCGTCTGTACATTAACTTTTGAACTACTCCTTTTCGAGGCCATGCACACTTAACTAAGTGTTGTGGGCTGAACTGTCCCCCAAAAAAGACATGTTGAAGTCCTAACCCTGTGAGTGGGACTCTGTTTGGAGATGCAAATAGATACAATCGAGTGAGATAAGGTCATACTGATTTAGGGTGTCCTCTAATCCAGTAAGGGCTCCCTGGTGACTCAGAGGGTAAAGCGTCTGCCTGCAATGCGGGAGACCTGGGTTTGGTCCCTGGGTTGGGAAGATTCCCTGGAGAAGGAAACGGCAACCCACTCTGGTACTCTTGCCTGGAAAATCGCATGGATGGAGAAGCCTGGTAGGCTACAGTCCCATGGGGTCGCAAAGAGTCGGATACGACTGAGCGACTTCACTTTTCTTTCTTTCTAATCCAATACGACTGATGTCTCTGTAAGAAGTGGAGAAGACAGAGAGATACACATATGGAGACCATTTCACGACAACAGAGACAGGGATTAAAGTGTTGCAGCTACAAGCCAAGAACACCAGAAGGTGGATGAGACAAGGAAGGACCCTCCAAGAGGTGCTTCAGAGGGCGCATGGCCCTGCCAACATTTAACTTTAGACGCGGAGCCTCCAGAACTGTGAGGGAAAAAATTTGCGTTGTTTAAACCACCAAGCTGTGGTTCTTTGTTATGGCAGCTCTTGAAGCTAACACCCTAGAGGACTCAGACTGAAGAAAGAAGAGCTTTCAGTCTTTATGAGGAGGACCCTCTGGTGGGGAAGATCCAGACGTGCGGCAGATACTTGAGGCAGCCAGCCTCACTAGGCACTTCATCCCTCGGCTTGGCCACAAGAGATCTGGGGAACTTCTGCCCTAAACTGTTGAGGCAGAGATGTGATTGTGCACGTCACTGATGGGAAGCTCTGAGCAGTCATCCCAGAGCTCAATAAGTATAGTCCCTCTAAAGGGACATGGACAACACTGGAATGCTCCTGTTCCCTGGAGATGTTCTCAGGAAGCTGAAACTGGCTCTTGTGGGGTACACATTTTATTTCTCAGAGGGGTCAGATGGTCCTCTACATGGGCCAACTGGTGACTTCTCCCAGCAGACATGCCTTTCTAGAATCTTCCCCGTGACTCTCACTGTTCCTCCAACTCTTATCTTCTTGAACCCACTTCTCAGTTTAGGTTTGCAGATCCCCACTCATCCTCTGAGGCTTAACTCAATGTTGTATTCTCCTGATGTCCTTATAAGAAGCAAAGACAGAAAAACCTACAGTTACCAGAGAAAAAGGAGTGGGGAGGGATAAATTAGGAGTGTGAGATGACAAACTACTATATATAAAATAGATAAACGACAAGCTCCTATAATGTATAGCACAGGGCACTATATTCAATATCCTGTAATAAAGTAAAATGGAAAAGAATATGAAAAAGAATACACACACATATCTGAATCATTTTTCTGTACACAGAAAACTAACGATATTGTAAAATCAACTACGCTTCAATTAAAAAAAAGAAGCAGAGAAGACAGACACCTCTCAATCTCTGGTGTGTTGGTCTTGGCACCAAACATCCTCTGCCTTAGTGTGGTGATTTGCAAATATCTATCCTCACTGCCTCCATGCTTCCCACACATCTGTGAGGTACATCATTATGCTGGGCCCTGAGAACACAGCAGTGAGACACAGTTCCTGCCCATGTTGCTTACAATCTAGTGAAAATCAAGACTATCACTAACAAAAATAAGAATATTATAGCATTACAATGGCCGTGACATAGAAACAACCTAAATGTCCACCGATGGAAAAAGAAGACGTGGTATATATGTTACTTACACACACACACACACTGGAATATTACTCAGCCACAAAAATGAAATAATGCCATTTGCAGCTACATGAATGGACCAACAGCCAACAGACTATCATACTAAGTGAAGCACGTCAGAGAAAGCATATCATTGTACGATATCACTGCTATGTGGAATCTAAGATACAACACAAATGAACTTGTCTACAAAACAGAAAGAGACTCACAGACATAGAGGACAGACTTTTGGTTGCCAGGGGAAAGGGGGCAGGGGAGGGTTGGATTGGGAGCTGAGGTGAGCTGATGCCAACCATTACATATAGGATGGATAAACAACCAGGTCCTACTGTATAGCACAGGCAACTATATTCAATATCTTGTGACAAACCATAATGGAAAACAAATATGATAAAGAATTTATATATGGATAACTTAATCACTTTGCTGTATACTTGAAACACAGCACTGTAAATCAATTATACTTCAATAAAAAAGAATATTATTGCATATGTAATGCTAACATTGACTTCATGTGTGTGTGTGTGCTAAGTCACTTCAGTCCTGTCCAACTCTTTGCCACTCTATGGACTAGCTTGCCAGGCTCCTCTGTCCATGGGATTCTCAAGGCAAGAATACTGGAGTGGGTTGCCATGCACTTCTCCAGGGGATCTTCCGGACCCAGGGATCAAACCCGTGTCTCTCATGTCTCCTGCATTGGCAGGTGAGTTCTTTACATTAGCACCACCTGGGAAGCCTACTGACTTCGTACTGCTGACTAAATGTTTATGATGCTGACACTGCCTTTAAGCCCTTTATATTCATTGTCTCATTGAATCTTCTCAAGCACCTGTAAAGCAGATGAAACTATCCTTCATAAAGGATGAGGAAACTGAGGCTCAGAGGTTAAGTAACTGCCCAAGGGGGTGCCGCTGGATCCTAGGTGGAACCAGCCTCCTTTATGTTTATGAAGTAAGCATCTCCTTACAGTGGTTCAGAAAGTGCTCTGCATACAGTAGGTATTTAATACATGATGCTGAACTGATTAGGAAAAGTCCAGAGAAGTTAGTTTCTTATATAAAATTCTATAAGATGCATAGGTAGAAAAGCCAAATAAATAGATGCTATAGAAAAACATTTCCCAATAATTCCTTAATTATTCCTTATCCTTCTCACTTTTTTTTTTTCAGGGGAGTAGGACTATCTTTTATGATCTTTAGGAGAGCTACATAATTAGGTCAAAGACTCAAGTAACAATTCAAGCTCCTACTACCATATATGGGACCCAGGAGTCATGTCAAAAGATCTGCAGAATCCACACTCCTCTGGACACCAGCTCCATTTCCATGTCATGGAACATCCACCAAATTCGCAGGCCAGCCCTTCAACTGGGCTGTTTTCTAATGCCAGAGTTAAGCTGACATGGAAATGTTCTAACTACTCGAACGAAGCGCCTGGGATGCTTTCCACACCATCCCGTTCACATTACCAATGGAGAAATGGAATAAAAGAAACAACCTTCTGACTTAAAATCGCTTTCACGGCATCCTCGACCTCCTCCTGATTGCCAAGGTCAACGGTCCAAACGTGTGGCCGGCCGATGAAAACTTCAGCGTAAGGATGCTGTGACGTCAGCTGGAAAAGGAAAAACAGAACCTCAGTCTCACAAACACTGACTTTTTTCAGCCTTCTGTGCCAGGTGAAGTGTAATGCTTTTTATGATTCAGAGTTGGACTTGTGTAGGTAAGAAGTCATTTTCTGTTCTTCCTCCTGATGATGGAAACTTCCTAAGCACCCCATGAGCATGTGTGCAAGCTAACTCGCTTCATTTGTGTCCAACTCTTTGCAACCCGATGGACTGTAGCCTGCCAGGCTCCTCTGTCCATAGGATTCTCCAGGCAAGAATACTGGAGGGGGTTGCCATGCCCTCCTCCAGGGGATCTTCCTGACTTAGGGATCGAACCTGCTCCTCTTACCTCTCCTGCACTGGCAGAGGGGTTCTTTACCACTGCGCCACCTGGGAAGCCAAGTCAACCCCATAAACAGATAATAATAAATGGGCGAGGGCTCCGTAGCTTCTCTGTTTTTGACCCAGCAGGACACCCACTGGGCCCTCCTAGGTCACGACTGGATATGCATACCCTCTGGATTCGAACGCAGAGCACTGACGGGTCCAGGTAAGGAAACCAAGGCTGTATGGTGTGCCTGGCTGGAATCATCCCTAGAGCCTGTGAGTGCCCATCAGGTTCACGTGGGACATTTAAAAAGACACATGGGGACTTCCCTGATGGTCCGGTGGCTAAGACTTCAGGCTCCCAATGCAGGGGACCTGGGGTTCAGTCTCTGGTCAGGGAACTAGATCCCACATGCCACAACTGAGTTCGCATGCCACAATTAAAAGACTGTGACACGTAAGACGAAACATAACACAACGATGATCAACAATCCCGAGTGCTGTAACTGAGACCTGTCTCAGGCAAAGAAAAAATATTTTTTTAATTAAAAAATATATATACTAAAAAAAAAAAAAGACACATAGCCAGGCTGTCTTGGACTCTCTGGGCCTGGATCCTGGGCACTTTAGAGGGGATCCTAGGTGTCTGGGGGTCCCTGGAGAGTGAGATGTGGGCCATGGCCCTGCCTGAGACCCACAGGGCAGGTCCAGTGATGCTTCATACCCTGAATACCATTTGCAAGAAAGAGTTACAGTGTCATAACCAGGTGATGTGGAGGCTGTTACAAGTGGCTGCTCAATCCCTCAAATCACACCAAGAAATAATGGATGTTGTTTCCTCAATTATAGCCCAGCCCTGAAAATCACCTAGATAGAACTAGTATCTATTATAAAATACTGGTTAGGACAGATAAGCATGATAAAATTACAATAAAATCATTACAGGTTTTAAAGTCATAGAAGGACACGTAATGGCACATCTGAAAGGCGACAAAAAGAGAAACAAGAAAACCAGGAAAAACAGAATTTTTGGAATAATCATTAGCAAAACATTGTAAACTTAACAGTCATAAAGATAATGTGTGATCAGAAAAGCCAGGAAAGGCAGCTTCTGTTCTAAAGGAGGTTTTATTTTAAAAACAAAGGGCGACCAAAGAGACCCAGAGGAATATTGGTAACTCTCAGTTCTTGAAAAATCCAGTTTTTAAGAAAACTAAATTTACCCCTCAGACTCATTCCCCACCTTTATTCTTGCATCCCTATAACGGTGTGATATAAAGACAGCACATGTTCAGTTCTTGGGTCAGCGGGTGCTTTCCTAGTCCCTGGCTGAGGACCAAGGATGCCAGATGCCTTGAGATGGGATAACAGTCCTGCATGGGGCAGAGCTGTCCACTCCCCACCGGCCTTCACATGCCTCCCCAGCTCTCATGTGGGTTCACAGAATCTACTCTTTGGCACAATTTGAACACACATTGAGTTTTCCAGGAACATAACTGCCTATGTAAATCAAAGAGCCTTTGTGCTCTGTTTTATTCAGACTTCACCAACGAGTCATTATTGTTTCAGAAAAATCAGGGCAGTAAAATCAATGCCACCCTGAAGCGCTGGGTCTCAGGACAATGTACCCTAACTAGTCCATATTTGAAGCCGTCACAGTAATGCTAATTGTGTATATCTGCGTGTCTATGCGTAGGCACCTTTCTATTTAGCTTCTCTTTCCTGACTGCAATGATAAGCACGAAGGGCTGACCAGCTTCAACTCAACGTCTCATTCCTCTTAAATACAAACATATTCACTGTAAGGAGACATGAGACATCACTGCTGCCTTCCAGGGTGCTTTTTCGTGGGTATGAGATAGCATTTCTGGACTGCGTATACACAAAATATCTTCTACCTTTCTGCACAGCATTTTCCTTTTATTTCTCTTTCATATTAGTTAGAGAATCAGCCTTTTAAAAAACTATATATGTTAGCAGGGCATATTATTTATGAATTCATTTCAGGACAGAAAAGTAGATGCAATAATACACTTAAAAGAAGGGGCTGGTTCTCTTTTCTCCTTCAGACCCCAGTATACTCGGAGAACTGGAGGATTCAATGGGCAGCTCTCCATCTTGCTTTTGATCACAGTTCTTTGTGCCTTACCACACGAATGGTGTGCAGGCAATAGTTGGTGGTGGGGAACGGGGGAGAAGATAAATTACTGAGCCTTCGCTGGCCGCCACTCATACGCTTCTAGACGCAGGGATCCTAGGTTTTATTTTTGCCTCTGCCAGCGTCACACCTCTTGCTAGCCTGCAGTTCCCCATCGCTCTGATGTGTTCCCTCTTCTTTTTGTTCATCTGTGTCCTCAGTGAAAGGAGAGTGACTGCAGCTTCTTAGAGCTGGGGGAACATCCTTTTCTTTTTTTCAGCACATATTGTAGATTGAGCACATATCGCCGAAGCCCCTCGTTGGGCCAGGCACTGTGCTCATCACCCATGCAGACATTATTATCAGGTTTCCCCTGTAACAGTGAGGATTCTCAGGTTTAGAGGGGTTTACAACTCATCAGGACTACATAGCCAGAAAGCAACAGAGCAGATTCAAATCCAGATCCTTCAACAACTTTTTACCTTTTGACAAAAAACAAAGATGACAATTTTAAAAGATGCTCTTGAGTTCTTAAAACAAAGACCAAAAGAAGCTCAATGTAAACACCAGCCTTTTCATCATTTTTAAAAAACTTGCTAACCTAAGAAAAGAAAAATTGCAGGACTGAATGTATGTCTGTGTAAGACCTTCCCTGAAGCTGAGCAAAATGTTACACCATTTTCATTTTGTGACCTGGAGAACCAACTAATTAATTCTTCCAATTGAATCAGGGTAAATGAAAGTTGCCGTCAATGTCACCATTTAGCAGTCTGTCTCCCCTCTGCCTCTTAAGGTCCCTGCTTATTTACAAGGTTGCTCTAAGCACTTAGAAGACACGAAATGCTGAGCCATTATTATCATGTTCATTTATATTTATGGAAGGTTACTTAATTTTATGAGTAAGGCTTTCTGTGATGCCTTATTCCCCATCTGAATGTTACTCTCCTCCTTGTTAATTTATTGAGAACCATCTGGTTTGAGACACTTCATTGTATATCCATTAGTATGTTTACTGAAGTATATAGTTTGTAAAAGTCATGAAAATCTTATTAACTATGAGACATTATTTCAGAGTGGCCATTAAATCTCCAGGAAGAACATGAGTTCTCTTTGTGGAAGAGGAAACCCTGGAGCCAGAGAATTGCCAGTGGCTTACAAAATGTCAGAATAATGATCAAGAACCTGCTAATATGTTTCCCAATATAAAGATTAAAATACAATTCATATTAAAGTATAACTTGAACCAACCACACTATACTTAAGGCACATGGAACTTCTCTTCCTGAGTATGCAGAGTATGGTTTTAAAAAGGGTTGTAATGAAGGGGATATCAGTTCAATCCCTGGTTGGGGAACTAAGATCCCACATGCCTCAGGGTGATGGAACCCATAAGGTCTAGAGCTCGTGTTCCAAAACAAGAGAAGCCTGCACACAGCAAGTAGAGAGAAGCCCCCGTGAAGCAACAAAGAGCCCACATGCCGCCAAAAAATAAAAATGTGTCCAATGCAAAAATAAAAACAAAGCTTTTTTCCTCCTACATACAAAGAAAAATTTAGACTTCTCTTCAAATGAAGGCAAAGAAGAGACATAGATACGATTTATATGGATGCAGTTATATGGATCAATTGTTGCTTAGCTCAAAAGATTAGCCAGGGCACAAAAAGATGGCTATGCAATTATATACGCTTTGGTTAGAATTTTTCAATTTGTTGAGGGGGAAAAAATGATACTTTCTAGGGATTCTTGACCCTTAGAAATCTGTACAAGTGTTGATAGCTCTTTCCCAATTAAAAGCATCTTTGGTATATGCGCTGCCGAAGTGGGCACTAAAAGCATCTTTGATCAGGGGGATTCTGTGAGCTGAAAGAGCAGAGCGCGGTGGCCCACGTGCCCATGAGGTCAGGTTCACTGGCTCCTCTCAAAGCTGAGTCACGTTGCTGGCTATCAGCCTGCTCTCCGCACTGTCTCCAGCAGAGAAGGAAATGGACATCAGATGGAACCTGCCCTCCTGCATAAAGCAAAGTGACCTGCTTGGGGTTTCCCTCCAGCTCATCAACATTCATGTTTCTCAAACTCGAAACCCATCTCTTCTTTTCCCTTAAAGCACAGCTCCTCCACCATTCCCATCTCAGCTAACCCAGCCTAACCCACCACCTGGCAACACTCCAAGTTAACCAGCCTTCTTTAATGTACTCAGTTATTTCCTTATGCATTCCCATTGATTAAGCATCATTCTTATCAAGCTTCCAAATCAGTGTGAGCTCCTGGGAACAGGAAATGTGTCTTGATAAGTTCCCTTAATGTAGTAACCTAGTACCACAGACCCTATGGGGATACAGTGAATATCTGCCAGCTGACCTCTGCTTCCCAGCCCTCCTGTGGGGGCCCATGGCTGATGGAGTCACCTGTGGGGGGTCACTCGTTGAGCAGCTATTGAAAGGCTCCGCCAGTGCCACTCTAGCTGGAGTCTCATTCCCGCAGTGATGGGACCATGTGAAGGAACAGGAGGAACCAAATGCCTGGGTGACAGCTCCAACACCTATTCCTTTTATGCTATGAAGGATGAAAACCCTCTATCATTTCAACAAAAAAGGAATGCAACTGACAGGATGAATGCACTCAGCAACTGCAGCCTGGCTGATCTGATCTATGTATCATCACATCACATCACATCACATCATACACTGGGAAACGGTTAGATTGTGTTTAAGAGGGGGGCCTACATTTTTTTTCCCCCAGGAAAAAGTAGTCAGTTGCAACACAGTGCTATCAAAATCTTCATGAATCGAAATTTAAATTATTGTCTAATTCTAATGATTTAGAAGGTACCAATCTAAAAAATTCAAGATGATGGAAAAATCACCATTAGAATATCGCTGTAACAATGGTTGCAAGCAAGATCTACTGACACATGGTAAAAATAAATGGTCAAAAGTTGGAGGATCTACAACAGGCTGAAGGGTAGGTTGGGGAGAGAGATGGGAGGGAGGTCTGAGAGGGAAGGGACATGGGTGTACCTATGGCTGATTCTTGTTGATATAAGACAGAAAACCGGAAAATTCTGTAAAGCAATTATCCTTCAATTAAAAAATTAAAAAAAAAAAAGAGCTGGAGGATATTTGCATGGTTTCAAAGTACTTCTCCCCCAAATAGAAAAAATTAGTAACTTCACAGTGGAGAAAAGCTGGCAAACATGACCTTGACCAAGTGATCAAGGTTATGTCATCAGTAACAAGACACTGGCATCACTAGCCCCCTGATATGATACACTGAGGTCACATCACTTCTGCAGGATTCTTGCCAAAAATGTCTAACCTTAAACTAATCAGGAGAAAACACCAGTCAAATCTAAATTGAGGGACAGTGTTTAGAATCACTGACTGGTACTCGTTAAGGTCATAAATGACAGTAAAAGATTAAAGAACTGTCACAGCTTGGAGGAGACTCATGAGACACGACAAGTAAAGCCCATGTGGGATCCTGCACCAGGAAAGGGACGTTTGTGGAAAAACTAGTGAAATCCAAATAGAGTCTGTAGCTTAGATAATGCTAGGGTACCAATGTTAATTTCTTGGTTTTGACAATTACACTGTAGTTTTATAATATGTTGCCATTAGTGGAAGCTGCGTGAAGCACATAACCAAACTCTGTACTATTTTTGCAACTTTTCCATAAGACTAAAATTATTTCAAAATAAATAAAAAGCAAGTTCCAACAATTCTGCCCATAGGTATATATACCACAAAGAATTGAAAGCAAGGATTCAGACAGATACCTGTATGCCGGCATTCACAGCAGCATTATTTGTAACAGACAAGAAATGGAAACAACCCAAGTGTCCACAAACAGATGAATGGATACATAAAATGTGGTCCATTCATACAATGAAGTACTATTCAGCCTTAAAGAAGAACAAGATTCTGACACATGCTACAACATGAATGAACCCTGAAGACCCACTTAGTGACATAAGCCAGTCAGAAAAGGACAAATGCTTTCCTGCTGATCTTTCCCCAACTCCTTTGGCCCTTTCACCAATGATGGGGAGGGTCAAAGAAAAGAACTCTCAAAATAATCAACTCTATTAACTGGTCAGCTCTCTGACTGGTAAAGAGTAATCATGGAAAACGTGCTTTATTCACTGGGGGCGTTTCAGGAGAATTGTCCTATAAAGGTTTGAAAGTAGCAGAGTTGAAAGCAGTATGCTTTAAAAACATGTCTGGGGGTCAGGGTGAGGAGGGTTGCACAGCAGAATCATCCTTTTGTCCTGAATGATAGGGGCACTGGGACAACTCAACACTTAGAGGCTTCCTCCTCGCAAGCAGCCCGCAGAGCCACTTACTAACTAAATAAATACGAAATAATAAGAAATTGATCTTACTGTTCCTTGCACATGCTTGTTTTCTAACCAGATATAGAAATACCCAGCTGGGTCACTCACATGCACTTTTGTTTATTGTCCCAAATAGAATCCAACTGCCTTCAACAGTGATTCATTGCCCGTTGTGGGTTTTCAAGAGAACCCCTGAAGGCAATTCAGATAAGGCTTCTGCAAACAGTTCAAACAACAGCAGAACTGCTTCTCAGGGTGGTGCTGGCTGACAGTCAGCTAAAATACCAGGCACACTAGGTAGTCACTTCTGATACATCACTTCTCTTAAGGATGATGATTCTTTAAGGAAGGACCCCACAGTCCACTTTTTATTCCCCAAAGCTCATCACAGAGAGTAGGTTCTTTAATAATACCCATTAATGATCCAAAAGGATACATGCACCCCAGTGTTCATTGTAGCAATGTTAACAATAGCCAAGACATGGAAGCAATCTAAATGCCCATTGACAGAGGAATGGATAAAGATGTGGTACACATATACAATGGAAGATGACTCAGCCATTAAAAAAGAATGAAATAATGCCATGTTTAGCAACATGGATGGACCTAGAAAGTGTCACACTGAGTGAGGTAAGTCAGACAGAGAAGGAGAAATATTCTATGACATTCCTTATATGTGCAATCTAAGAAAAAATGTTACAAATGAATCACAAAACAGAAAGAGAATCACAGGCTTATAGAACGAACTTATGGCTTCTGGGTGAAAGGAGGGAGGGAAGAGATAGTTACGGAGTTTGGATAACCAACAAGGACCTACTGTATAGCACATGGAACTCTGTTCAATGTTATGTGGCAGCCTGGATGGGACAGGAGTTCGGGGGAGAATGGATACACGAGTCCCTTTGCTGTTTACCTGAAACTACCACATTATTAATTGGCTATAGACCACAATACAAAATAAAAAGTAAAAAAAAAAAAACCTGTTAACCAGTTGATTTTCTTTTTATTCCATAAACTAATCATTCAGAAAAACAGAGTGCAGCCAATTAGAAGGCTGGAGATATCTGTTCAAATTAAGATGGAGATTGGGTAGGGTGAAAAGACCCCATATTTTGTAGATGGATGGAAATTAGACTGGATCTTGCCTCTGAAACTACCTAGTGAGGGGATGTAATCAAGCCCTCCATGTCTGAGTCCCTATACACCCTCCTCCTTCCACCCAACTGTATTAAGTTCTGTATATACAAATGAGTTCTATTCTGAGAGCACATTCGAAAATCTAGTTTGTTTGTAAGTTCAACAAAGGTAACCGAGGTCCCTAGCTAACACAATCAGCTATACAGTAGTACTGTGATAGGTTTATACTACTTTTCACACAAATAATATGCAAAAACAAATATAAAAAGTAAAGAAAACAATTTTAATCTTATAGTACAGTGTCTTAGAAAGTACAAGAGCTGGCATAGAGGGGCTGACATCAAGTGAACAGGCAAGTACGTTACATCACTGCTGCTTTTATGCTTGCTCTGGACATCCTGGGCTTGAAATAAAGATACTATCCTACTGTACTCTATAGAATACTGCAAAGTACACAAAAGCACAACCACTTGGAGAGGATGCAAGCACACGGCAATGCATCCCAGGCACGTGAACTCAAGTGATTGATTCGTGAACATACGTTCGCATCTTTGAAAGTTCAAAACTTGAAGGTGCGTATGTAGGGGAGTTACTGTACGTGAAATGAAGTTGGCAATACCTACCGTCCAAGGCGCTGAGGTTCAAATGGGCTCCTAGCACTCAATAAAGAGGTACCATTCATACGAGTGAAAGCAGAATTGAGTTTTAGAGATGCTTACCTCTCTCAGAGTTGGCTTGCCAATGAAAAAGTCTGTGTTTTTGCTGCTTTTGGGTGGGTTGAACTTGGGATTCAGAAAAGCACATCCATTTGCGATGGCCTCCAGGGGAGCTGGGCCCTCGTACGGGAACCCAAGCCCAACAAACAGCTGTAAGACAGAGAAGCACACCACACGTCAACACATCGAGTGGGACTGGCGTCCCGGGCTCACAGGGGTCTCCTCTGGGCTCCACACCTGTGTGGACGCTGCTGAGACTGGGAAGTTCCAAGGCCCTGGGGAGCTGGGGTGATGAGAAGCCGGCTTACAAGTGGACCTGAGAAACAGGACCAGGGACCTTCAAAGGCCCAGTAAGGTGCTCAGGTCATGAGGAATTTCACTCCTTTGTAAAAAAAAAAAAGGAAAGGAGTAAGAGTTGGGGTGGGTAGTTGAGGGGGTAGGGAGGCGGGGGTATTCAAAGAAAAACAACAAAACTCAAGACTCAACAGTAATCTTTCTGTAATGCAACAGGAGACACGACTGGAAAAACACTTGCTTAACTAAACAGAAGGTTTCTTCATTGAACCTAAGGAACAACAGGCCCTTTCAGGGATGCCGGGCACAGGGACAGAAAGGTTGCTCGGCAGTGTGATTTCAGTTCACGTGGAGCTGCTTGGAAACGATGGTAGGTCAGCAAACACGGGTTTTCATAATGGGGTTTTCACTGGGGGACACCAACATCTTGGTTTTTATTTTCTTCTCGATGTGGGGAGAGGGTGTGGAGCTGTGACTGGGCCATGCTTTCCCTCTCCAGCAAGTAAACCCTGAGCTGTCCCCACAGCAGACGACAGATGGCAGCAAAAACACATCTCAGAGTCCTTGTAGAGACCGCGGCGGCCCAGAGCCCCGGTGACAAAAGGAACTTGCTGCAGTTCAGTGGCACTGATTCCTGGGACCAGAAATGAAGCATCATCGCACAGAAAGGCCTCCCTGTGTACCCGCCTCCCAGGGTGTTTCACACCGCTGGGGGTTGTGCGTCCTGATGGGCAGGGTCTGAGTCTGGGTTTGGTGACATGTGAGATCTCCCTAGCCACATGAAGGAGCTGCTCCTGAAACCTCTCCAGTTTCTGAGGCACATCCAGTGGCAAATGATAACTGGGCCCCAGAGCGTCCTTTCCTTCTGCCATCACATTGGGGAACAACCACAGGGCCAGGCCCCAAAAGTGAAGGAAGCTGTTGGCTTGGACATGGCTGGATGCTTGATTCTCTTTTCCTGAGTTCTCTCCTCAGCCATCCTATCTCTGCAGCTTTAATTGAATGATTATTTGGAATGGTTCTGTCTAGAGAGCCCTGAGTACAAGCTGCTGGGTTCCCCAGGCAACACTGGAAGATGAAGCATGTATGTGCTGGGCACCCAATTCCAGGGCTTAACCCAGTGTGGCCCACGTTGGCCATACTGAAGAGGCAGGAAGGCCCTGCAGGGAATTTTCTGGGACAAGAAACTAAAATCTCAGGTTTTTCCTATAATTATGTTCTTTTGCACAGAACAGCATACTGAAGTGCTTTGTGGTTTTGGAAGAATAGCCTTTCGTAACTTGCAGACCTTGAGATGATTCTCAGAGACATCTGCAGGGGAAGGAACTGCGGAGGAAAAGCTTTGAGCAGCCAGCCAAGCTCCCTCTGCTGGTGGGGGTCGTTTCTCCTGGAGCAGAAGAGCCAGAGACACAGAGGGGAGGGAGACACGGCAGCCGGTCCTGGAAGCTGTCTGGTATGAGGGGCATCTCCCCCACCATTTGGAGGCCCCGATTTTGCATCTTATTATGTAGCTAACTTTATTTTCTTGGGCTCCCAAATCACTGTGGATGGTGACTGCAGCCCCGAAATTAAAAGACGCTTGCTCCTTGGAAGAAAAGCTATAACAAACTTAGACAGCATATTAAAAAGCACAGAGATCACTTTGCCGACAAAGGTCCATCTAGTCAAAGCTATGGTTTTTCTAGGAGTCATGTATGGATGTGAGAGTTGGACCAAAAAGACAGCTGAGCACTGAAGAACTGATGCTTTTGAATCGTGATGCTGGAGAAGACTCTTGAGACAAACCAGTCAATCCTAAAGGAAATCAACCCTGAATATTCATTAGAAGGACTGGTGCTGAAGCTGAATCTCCAATATTTTAGCCACCTGATGCGAAGAGCCAACTCAATGGAAAAAACTCTGATGTTGGGGAAGACTGAGGGCAGGAGGAGAAGGGGACGACAGAGGATGAAATGGTTGGATAGCATCACTGACTCAATGGCTATGTGTTTGAGCAAACTCTGGGAGATAGTGAAGAGATAGGGAACCTGGCATGCTGCAGTCCATGGGGTCACAAACAGTCAGACATGACTGAGCGACTGAACAACAACATGTAGCTAACAGGAGTTAGATTGTCAGAAAGAGCTTATGTGTACAGGGTATGGCCTGTGCATGCAGCTCAGGGCTGGGGGATAACTGAAAACAGTAGAAGAAATGAAGGAACTGGTGGGAAGATCTAGTTTCAAGACATCCCAGCTTCATTAAACATGAAGAATCCAGGGGATACTATCCTTGAGGCTTTTGATCTCTGTGATCTGTCACCCCTGGCGGATTTAGGGGAGGAGGTGCCGGCTCTCCAGGGAAAAAAGGACCTCTATCAGGCTGTGGCTGGACTCAGGAAAGCGCAGGGCTTCCAGATCCTGAAAGATGCAGACAGGGGTCTCCACTGGTTTAACCAGAGACCATAGTATTTCCTAATCTTTGAAAATCAGGGCCTGCCATGAAGCGCTGACACTGTCATCAACACTAAACTGCAAAGAATAACTTTGGAGGAAATGTAGGAACCACGATGCTTGTCTATTTAAATAGAAAATCCTGGAAAAAGAAATTTAATTAGCTCCTTCAGACCTACCAATCTGAACCCATTAATTAAAAGGATTTGAGGCTGTTGCTTAATGGACTCGAATGTGACCTAGGTTTAATTATATCTGAATAACAATGTGCACCATCTCTTCTGCCCTGCTGGCAACTGAGTATCTCAGTACACATAAAATAAACACTTTGGGCTAACTCTCCAAAGCCTCACCAGTTCATAATGAATTTTAAGCAAATACCACACAACTTCTTGGCAATGAGTCTTCGTCACACTAATTAGGATTGCAGGAAATGCACTACTTGCAAACACTAAAACAACAGTTCTTTGTCCCTTCTGTCAACAAACAACTTTTCTTCTTGCTTCCTGTGTACTCATTACCTGTGACATTCTAATGTAGCAGATGTATTAAGGTCAAATAGCACACTTGAGGTTTGAATGACAATAGGATAGGCAGAGAGAGTCTGTCACCACCAAGGGCATTCTGTGAACTTGTGAGGGCTTATGGTCTTGCCACACACTGGCACTTAACCACACTAAATTGCTTTTCCCCCAGCTCCCCACTCCCCATCTTTCTGCCCACTTAGATTTCCTTAGCACAGGAACGAGAGAGACAGTGCAAGAATGCATTCAAGCGCAAAGGCTCAACTCAGGAGGAAGCAGCATGTTTTATTGATACTTCATCTTGTCTTCAGAAGCCTAGATTGTAATGAGGATATTCCAGATGACAGAACATCTCCATGGCTGCAGCTTGACTCCATCAATGAGCATTTCTAAATAGAGCTCTAAATTACAGGCTCTAAAGTTTAACTTTTGAATTAATACTAAGGAAGAGAGAAGAGATGAGGCGCCAGGACTGGGATGTCCCTAGGTATCGACAGAGTTCAGTTAAACCACTCAGATTTTCACTCTGTGTGAAAGGAGGAACGAAATTGTTTTAAACCCCTGAGTGGAGTAGTTGACAAAGAATCCCTTAAGTGTAGATAAAGGTAGTTCTTAGAGATCAGTGCATGTATGTGGAATCTAGAAGAAATGGTACAGATGAACTTATTTGCAAAATAGAAAGGGGTGGGTGGTGGGAAGAACTGGGATATTGGGATTCACATATATACACTATTAATACTATGTATAAAATAGATAACTGATGAGAACTTACTCTACAGTATAAGGAACTCTACTTGCTCTGTGGTGACCTGAACAGGAAGGAAATTCAAAAAAGAGGAACATATGTATACGCATGGCTGATTTACTACGATGTATAGCAGAAGCTAATACAACATCATGATGCAACTACACTCCAATTACAAAATTTTGTTTTTCAAAAGGTAGTTGTTAGGCAGATTCCACGGCTGTGGTCAGTTTCCAGGCTCTCTCTCTCTCTCAAGTGGAATATCCAGGATAACCCAAACCAGGAGATTGCATGCCCAACAGACACTTTTCTGACTTGTTTTCATTAGCCAAGTTGATGGAGTCAAACAGGATGGAGTCTGAGCAACCAGTCAACCTCAGTTTATCCAATAGATAGATTATCGACACAAAGTGATCAGGACAACAAAGTGATTAAGAACACAAGCTCCGGAGTCAGGCTGACCGGGTTTCTAAGCCTGACTGTATCATCTCCTAGCTATGTAACTGTGAGAAATTGTTATATGCCTCTCTCCATGGATTATCTGAGGTCCAATGATAATGCATTTTCTCTAGTTACAGGTCTCAGTCAAGGTAACACAAGCTCTCTGAACCTGTCTCTTCATGTGTAAAATGGTTGAAAGTAATAGTGCTTTATTTCATGGGGCTGCTGTGAGGATTCAAGGAGATATTTCACAGAAAGGATGTATTCCAAGGTTTGGCTCTTGGACTAGTGTTTAGTGAACACTGACTAAGTCCAAACCCAAGTTCCACTTGTACTCCTATGGGCCACATGCTGTGGCTAAGTCTTACTTGTTTACCTTTCAAATAATGGTTGGGAATCATTATTTGGTAATAGGTATCCCTTTTATATGTTTAAATCGAATCTATACAAGGCTGGGTATGGAGAAATTTTATTTTCCTGATAAGTGATGCTTTCACGTAACCCAAAGGGTCTCTCTCTGGACATCTGTCTTTCGTTCAGTACTGAAAGAAGAGACAACAGTGGCCAAAATCTCTTGCCTATATTTTTAGCAACTCCTTCTCCTGATCTTCAGGATTCCCTGGTGACTATGATGGTAAAGAGTCTGCCTGCAATGCAGGAGGCCAGAGTTCTATCCCTGAGTCTGGAAGGTCCCCTGGAGAAGGAAATGGCAAC